TTAGGTCTTTATACTTCTGGAAAGCCTAGGATAATATGGTCCATGACCTTACTAATAAGCTACCTGACATTAACCATTCAATGAATTTAGAAAATTCTAAAAGGAGGCTCTTAAAACTTTTGAGACTGTCCAATTTATGGACTGTAATCGAGTTAAAATTTAGCATCTTAAGGATGTAGCCTATCACTTTTAATTTTATGAATTGTTTTTTCTAGAATAGTAGGAGTGTTTGAGAAAAGTCTTTTTCTATATTAATAAATGATTTTATTATTAATCTAAGGCTATGTGTAATCTTGTTGATGATCACTACCAAATTAGGTGGATTCCTCCTCTTTCTCGGCAAGCAACTGAAGTTAAATGTTGATGGCTTTGTTTCCTACAATCATGGTTCTGCTGATTGTGAAGGGGGAGGGAGGAGGGAAGCAACTGTACCAGTCGAAAAGTAATATAAATTCTAAAATGTTCCTAAAATTATCATCTCACAAGGATTATTTCCAATTACTAAGAATTTCTTAATTCAATTATTTAAGCCTAAAGGAAGCAAATTAAAGAAAAACAAGAATTTAATTATAAAATCAATTATTAATAAAAATAAGCAACATAATATATGTCTTGCTTGAACTTATAGGAGAGGAACATAGGGTATATGAGTTTTCTCATTTAATCCTTTATGTTATTTTTTTATTTAATTTTAAATTTGATTTCCTTTAATTACCAATCATTCATACAAATACTATCAATACCTAATGGTCATGGAATATTAATATTATTTTTTATAAACTAACATTCACAATAGTCATGTAAGATATTAATTCAAGAAAGCATAAAACACCTACAAAACTTGTTAATTTAATAACGATTAGAAGAAAGATTAGTTTAGTCCACCTAATCATTTGTCTCATTTTATTCTATAGATTTATTAACTAATCAAGGTACGGTCATCTAATGATATAATTAATTAGGATTATATTACGAATGGTTAATTCACAACATATAATTATGCATAATAGGATAAACACTAATCACGGACGGAAACCAACTTAGATTCAAACATTAAAATCCCATAAATTCATGAACAAGAATTCTCATAGTCCTAACTATGAGTTTAGTTACTCATGTTAAAGAAAAAAAAAAACTAAAACAATCATAAACAAAGTCATAATAAAAAGGAAACAACAAACTAGAATGTCTCTAAAGGTTGGGATGAAATAAGTTCCCGATTTTTAAGTACGACCGCTTGAAACTCCAAGTTCTGCAAAAAATATGTCAAAGATCTAGTTGGAAGAGATATGATAAAAGGTGTATCAAAGGTCCCTTAGCCATTAGCTTCAAGGTCTCTTTAATAGAATTTAAAAAGTCTAATGTTGGATTACCACAGGTAAGCATGATCGGGTAGGTCCATATGCACAGCCGTGCATAAACTCGAACCACCCATGTGCTTTCTTTTGAGGTCTAAACGTATTGACTGTTGCAAAGCTCTATTTTCTAGTCAATTTGGGTCTAAAATGTCCAAAAATTTGATCAAGGCCTTTTAATGCTAAATTGCACAATATATACATGAATTATTGTGGAACTCAAATAAAAGAATGGCCAAATATAAATATATGAACTATAAAAGTAAATCAATATACAAACTTATCAAAGGGCCTCATTTGTGATGACAAAAGATAATTTATTATTGGATTCTATTCTAGTTTAGAACCTTACTCTCCTCTTGCAGCTGAACTGTGAACATTTATTTTGGATTACAACTAGTTATTTAGAAAGACATCTCTCTTGTTGGAATTGAGAGTGACTCTAAAGAGGTTGTATCTTTAGTTTTAATTATTCAAGATTGTATTCACCCTTTATATTCTTTGATTCATGATATTAGACATTTGCTTAGAAGTGTAAAGTTTATTAGATTTAGTCATATTTATAGAAACTAATCAAAGTGCAAATAAACTTGTTGATATAGGTCTTGAGATGTGTTTTTTTTTTTCACTTATTTTTATTGGCCCCTATGTATGGACTTTTGAAACTTAGACTCAGAGTGGATTTCTAAGTTGTTTGTTTTTTGGCGTTTAGCCTCTCTTAATATAAAAAAAGAATTTAAATAAAAAAATTTTAAATATAAAATATAAATTATTTTTAACTTATAAAAGAAGTTTAATTTATTTTATTACTTAATTTTTACTCTTATAATACCTATTAAGAAGTTTATTCAAACTAGCCCATGCATGGATAAAAAAACCATAATTATTTAATGTATTTTATATTTTACATTTATTTATTTATAATTGTTATTTTTATTAAAAATTGTTTTATTTAATCAACTAAGAAATAAAAAAAAAACTTTATTTAAAAATCAATTATATAGAAAGAAAAAAAAAAGAGATACCATATTCTTACAACAAGAAAAATTTACCAAAGCATATAAATAATAAAAATTGAAAAAATATATAAAAAAGAGAAGCTGTAAAATAAAATAATATATAATAACAAATACTATATAAATCACTGCATAATTTTATTATAATAATATTTTTTTAAAAAATATACAATTACAAACCCTTTATCTCAATAAAATAATATGAAGGTAAACATGTCGAAGAACTTATAAATGTAGATATAATATAAAAATTTATTATTAATAAAATTAAAATAAATATAAATTTATAACCCATTTATCAAAAAATTAAATGTTTGAAAAACATATAAAATTATGTTAAATTAAATTTTAATATGAAATTCATAATTTATAGTGTTAAAATAATTGTATATTTAAATTAATTTAATATTAATTCAAATATGCCATAAATCGCTGTGAAAGGGTGAAATTCCCAAATAAATATCATTTATAAAGAAATATATAAATATTCTCACTCTTCTGTGTTCACTATTGTTTTTATTTAAATATTTTATATTATTAATATATTCATAAAATATTATTTAAATAAAATAGTCTATTTTTACATTATGTCGTATTATATTGTACAACTCATTTATATATAAAATTATTTTGATTTCTCACAATATAAATATAAATAATTAAATTATGAAATATATTTTGAATTTAATTTAAATATATTAATAGTACAAATATTTTTGTATCATTATTTAATTATAGATTAAAATGTAAGAAAGTATAACTTATTTTTTATAATTAATATAAAATCATATTTATAATAAATTCAGCAATTTTTCCTATGCCTTTATCTCAGATATACAAAGAATTTTTTTATAAGACCTTTTAAATTGTAGTTAATAAAACATTCTCTTATTGAGAGACAGTGGGATTATTATTATTATTATTATTGAAATAAAAAAATAAACACATCTCCATTATCTCCCTCAATAAGAATTGTGTATAAGCTAACGGGGATTGGCAAAGAAGCGTAACAGGCATTTTGTGCTATGATTGGTTAGTGACAGCCTGTCAACACATGGTAAGTGGCCAACCCAAGTTCCAAGGACATGTATCCTTGTCATTATCATTATATTGCCCTGTAAGTTTAGCCCTACTTTCTCCTCAAGTTCTTCTAAATATAGAAAGGCAAGTCAAAATCATAAATTTCTTCAATTTAAATCACATTTTTTGGTATTTAACCTTAACATGAGTTAACTTTTAGTAACCTATACACACATCAACAACAAAAAATCTTAAATTTATTTATGAAAACATGAAACAAAAATATAAAGTGTTTGATTCCTCTAAGGAATAAAGGCCAAGTGAAGAGGTTCCTTCCTTTAGAAAAGGAAAGAAAGAAAGGCAAGTGAAAGTGAAGCACACAATGAAAGAGGATAACACAAGTCGGTAACATGTAAGTTTTCATTTGCTAAATACACAAAGAAGTCTTAAGGTGAAGGATAAATGGTTTTAGTTGCCAAGTAATGCAAAAATCAGAAGGTGAAGACGAAGGATCCTGACATTGTTCTACAATGATTGTGTGGTCCCCGCAAGGCACCTCTAGTTTCTTAGACTCATACATACCATAAGTATACACATAAATATGGCCCATCACCCATCTTATTGTTTTTTTGTTTTCTATGCTTTACAACTTATATTCCATTGTTATTCGTTAGTACTTCTTACCCAAAGATGTGTGTCAACTATAGCTGAATTAGCATCAAAGGAATAGCATATTAGTACATGATATACACAAAAGAAAATGCTAATTTTAGTCTCTAAGTTTAACATTTTAAGTATTTAAATGTGATATATTTTTATTGAAAAATAAATATTTATTTCGTAAAAAAGGAAAATATAGGAAATATTTTTTATTAAAAAATACTTTTTATATATTTAAAATTAATTTTAAAAACTAATGTTAAGAAAATGTATAAAGATAAAATTCAAGTACAATTTTTTAGTTATTAATGTTATTTTTCAGTTAAAATTAAAATTTTATATCGATAATCAATAATAATATTAAATACAAATATTTTATTTAAATAAATTTCTAATTTGAAGTAACAAATAGTCCTAATAATATTTATAGAATAACATATAAACTTTATAGTTAGATAAATTATAATAATTTTTTAATATATTCAATAACATACAATAAAACTTTTTGTATAATAAATTTTTATTAAAATTTACATTGTATCACTAAATTAATAAATTAATAATATTAAAAAAATTTGTTAACATGAGTCCTTAAAATCGAGTATAAACAATGAATAATAATAAAATTTTATTAAAAAAGTATATTGTATTTTTATAACTTTAATACAGTAAAAAAAAATATTTTCATAAAAAAAAATTATTTCTAAATACTTGTCCTTAATTTTAATAGTTAAGGTTAATAAAAATCTGTTAAAAATTACAACTTTAATAATTCTTAAACAAAAATCGGAACTGTAAAGTTGGTACTGTACTTATTTTCTGGTCTTCACAACTGTTGAATTGCCTCCTACTTTTGTTTCAGAAGAAGCTAGCTTATTGACACATTTCCTCTGTCTAGAGGGCAAAGGGCACCCCCATTATTGCTATTTGCTGGAGAAAGAACACAGCAAGAAAGAGCACCATGTGGAAGCAGTAAATGCAATAACTTCAGGTACCCCACTTTCGTATCTAGGATTCCGGGCTAAGACAACAACTTGATCTTTCTTTCCTTTGTTTATTGATTTGCATTTCAGACATCCACTACCACTATATAAGAGAGAGCTTTGCACATATCTTATTAATGATGCACTTTTTCTTCATTCATTGCCAATGTTTATCTTGCTTTAACCGTTTTTCTTAACACTAAACGGTTCTTAAGTCTCTACTACATTCTATCCATTAATGTTTACACAACTACCTCCGCTCAACAATTCAAATGGTCAAAGATATTAGATATCTCTAAGTTCATCCACATACAATTGTTTTTATATTATTCAATTTTTTTGGTGGTTGGTTTTTCTTCTGGGTTTGTTTAAATTATTTCATTTTAAGTAAATTAACAATTTTTTCCTATAAAAAATTAATATAATACCATTAGTTTATTTAAATTTAATTATTTATTTCATGAAATAATTTAGACAAATCCTTTTATTTTAAGCTTCTAATTATTTTAATGTGCACTTCTTTTCCATTAATTTAAGACAGGTTTGTCATTGGGTGCTTTATATGAGCTAAATTGCTCTTCCTTGAGGCACTGGAAGTAGAAAGTGTAGAACTTTTCTCATGGGGTTCCATGACATGGGTTTGGTGTTGTGTTTTGCTTGGTGTGTGTTTTATGTGGGAAGTTGCAGTGCTCAGTTGCAGTCCTCTCAGACCCAAGTGCTTCTCCAGTTGAAAAAGCACTTGGAGTACCCAAGACAATTGGAAATGTGGAAAGATCGTTGGACAGAAATTTGCTCTATTTCTTCTTCTACACAAGTGAACATCACATGCAACGACAATTTTGTTACTGAGCTCTCCATATTGGGGGATAAGCCAACAAAGGGTAGAGATTTTGATGGCTTTGCTATTCCAAATCAAACACTTTCTCAGAGCTTCTCCATGGACTCTTTTGTGGCAACTCTAGCAAGGTTAACTAGCCTGAGAGTACTTCGTCTTGTTTCTTTGGGTATGTGGGGACCACTTCCTGATAGAATTCACCGACTTTATGCACTAGAACAATTGGACATGAGTTCAAACTACCTATATGGATCAATCCCTCCAAAGATTTCCACAATGGTGAACCTCCAAACGCTTATATTGGGTGATAACTTCTTCAATGGTACTATCCCAAGCTTGTTTAATTCATCAAGTAATCTTATATTTCTTAGTTTGAAAAATAACTGGTTGAAGGGTCCTTTTCCACCTTCAATCCTTAGTGTCAACACCCTAGTTGGCATTGACATGTCCAGCAACCAAATATCAGGGAGCTTGCAAGATTTTACTGCTTTGAGTAACTTGGAACAGCTAGATTTAAGTGCAAACAGATTAGAATCTGCACTACCTGCTATGCCAAAAGGGTTGATAAGGCTTTTCCTTAGCAGAAACTCCTTTTCAGGTGAAATTCCTAAGCACTATGGTCAACTAAATAAGCTTCAACAGCTTGATGTTTCCTTCAATGCACTCACAGGCAGTGCTCCTGCTGAACTTTTTTCTTTCCCTAACATCAGTTACTTGAATTTGGGATCCAATATGTTTAGTGGGCCACTACAAAATCACCTAAGATGTAGCAGCCAACTTAGATTTGTGGATATATCACACAACAGGTTAGTGGGGTACTTGCCATCTTCACTTGGCACTGGAATAGAAAGTAGAGTTGTTAGGAGTGATGGAAACTGTTTATTAGGAAGTGTGCATAATCAGCATGCAGCATCCTACTGCGCAGTGTCTCATGTGAAGAAAAAATCATACAGAGTTGGAATTTTCGTTGGTGTCATTGTGGGCATTGTTGTGCTCACTGTGGTTTTGGCTTTGATCATTGTCATTACTTGTAAAAGGTTTTGCCCTCGAGGGATGTCAGAGCAGCACCTATTGCATAAAACAGTTCAAGATAGCTACACTGCTGGGTTCTCCTCTGAGCTTGTTACAAGTGCAAGTAGGTTCTCTTCATCCATAAAATGATGAATTGAGGGACAAGAAAATTGACTGCATTTTTAATTTGGTTGCTAATTTCAGGGTATGTTTCTGAAGCTGCAAAGTTAGGAAGAGAAGACCTCCCTGTGTGTCGTTCATATTCCTTGGAAGAGCTAAAGGAAGCCACAAATAACTTTGACAACTCTACTTTTATGGGCGAAAATATATATGGGAAGGTCCAAATTCCAAAACATGTCCTTTTTTCAAAACAAAAAAAGACATTATTAAGTTGTTGGGGACCTAGTTGAATGTGGCAATTGGGTTTAATATTTGAACAACTAAAATCTGTAATTTCTTCTTGTTAGACGAGATGGTCATGAAAATTTTCCATGATATTGCAGCTTTACAGAGGAAAACTGGAGAGTGGGATACAAGTGGTAGTAAGGTGCTTGCCTTTGTCAAAAAAGTATTCAATCAGGAATTTCAAACTGAGGTTGGATTTGCTTGCAAAGCTTCGTCACCCGCATTTGGTATCCCTCCTGGGACACTGCATTGATGGAGCAGTAGGAGAGCATAATGAGACTAACGTCTTTCTCATTTATGAATGTGTCTCAAATGGAAGTTTCCAGACTTTTCTCACTGGTAAGAGTATGATGTTTCTTTCACTTTATTAATGCTTACTATAATCATCTGAAAGCTGAATAACCTTACTCATAGAAGCTATTCAGCTACATGATGCCACGATTGAAATTCTTTTGTTGGATCCACCTGTTCTCGTCTTAAAATATTTAATTGTGATATTCTTTCATTATTTCAATGCTAGAGCTAACCCCCATATATTTTAGCATTTTCACTTGCCGTGTCCCCCAACTTTACTTCTTTTTATAAGTGTTAATTAACAATGTGCAAGCCACTAACCAATGCTTAGGACAATTTTTTAAAAGTGTAGTGGTTTTCACATGAATACCATTATTCTGACAAGTAGATGCAAAAGTTTACAAAAAAAGGAAGACAATATCCTCCCTGTATTGTAGCAGTGGATGTCTACGGGGAAAGGGATTCAATATTGAGCCATTTTTAGCTCGTTTTCATTCTATGCCATGTGGTAGTTGTGCAGAATGGATGATAAAAACTTGGAAATTTCAAATTGCTTTGGAATCATTCAAAGAATGAAACAAGCTTGAGTAGGTAGCTGTTTTTGTACTCGCATCCAAAGAATTGAAATGTAATGATATAATATTAAAACTAAATCTCTCTGGTATCGACCAATTTAGTTTGTGATGCGGTTTACATTGTGCGCTAAGTTTAAAAGTGTCAACATTTTATGTTCGTTAAGGTGATAGTCCTGGCAAGGTTTTCAATTGGTCAGAGCGATTGTCAGTTCTAATTAGCATTGCTAAGGCTGTCCACTTCCTACACACTGGCATGATTCCTGGTTTCTTCAAAAATCGACTTAAGACCAACAATATATTGCTGAATGAGAATTGGATGGCAAAGTTAAGTGATTATGGATTGTCCATTATCTCAGAAGAAACTGATGCATGTGGGGTATGATATCTTTCCCCTATTTTTCTTGACATTTTTTTTCTTCTATTGGTGGTCTTGCAGTACCTTGTCCATCATCATCAGTGATTATTTCTTGTCTTTTCTGGTTTTTAGGTAAAAGGAGAAAGTGCTAACTCATGGTAAGGATTCCCATAGATCATATGGCTTTGTTTCTCTTTCAATTTTTTGCTCAAGGAATTTTTCTGAATCCAATATCATCGCTCTTAACATTCTTGGTACACAACAAAGCGGATAATTCCTGCTTCACGTAGCAGAATTTCGTTAGCAGATCATAATATTTCCTTTTGGTGGATTCTTCGTTAAGGTTTATTTGTGTCATGATTTTCTCAAGGTATGTAATTTCAGGCAAATGAAAAGGCTTGAGGATGATGTTTATAGCTTCGGATTCATACTACTTGAGGCACTAGTTGGACCTTCAGTGTCAGCTAAAAGCGAGGCCATCATGCTGAATGCAATGGTATGCATAAAAAATGTTCAGATTACATGATATCATCCATTTACAACTACAATGTGATGCGTGTCATTTTTTTTCTTGTTAATGTACTGCAATACCATACACTTCTTACCTGACACAGTGCCCTAACGAAATGTTGTACAAAGCATTAGACTTTACAATAATATCATTCTTTGTAAGAATATCAGCATAAGGCTTTATTTAGGAGTTAATTTTAGGAAAGAAAGGGGAAGATTTATTTATGATAACCTTTGTTTGATAGTTTTTTATCGTAAGGGTGAGTTTTATAAACTCTCCATAAACTCATGTTTTATTTTTTATTTTATTTTTTGTCAAATTGGAGGTTTTATGTATTAACCTTTCTTCTCCTTTCATTCCCTTCTCCTCCCTTAACCCCTCAAACCCTTCTCTTCTCTCTTCTTCTCAACTCACAGACAAAGCCTAAGACATTGATTAGTGATGATGTTAGATGTTCATACTTCTATTAGTTCAATGTTCACCTATCCCCCAATCCTACACAAGTTTCAATATTCAATAAAAGAAAAAGAATATAGACCATACCTCATTATTTATATATTTATTTATATTTTTTACAATGGTAACTAATTTTGTAAACTCCATTTTATAGGCATCTTGCAATAATCAGGATGGGTGGAAACAGGTTGTGGACCCAGTTGTGCAAGCTACATGCTCTAAAGAATCATTGTTTATTGTGATTTCCATAACAAACAAATGTATTTCTCCGGAGTCCTGGAGCCGACCATCCATTGAGGATGTCCTTTGGAACTTGCAGTATGCTTCTCAAGTTCAAGTTCAGGCAACAGCTGATGGGGATCAGAAAATATGATACTCCACAATTCAGTGACTTCTTGAGTTTTGCTTCAAGCTACTCCAAAAGAAAACAACCATTTCCACATTTCATCTTTTGGAAATTTTACAAGGGAAGGAGAGTATTAACTGCATATACCTATGGCCCTACGTGACCAGTTTTCACCATGTGTGTATAGTATTATTATAAGGTTAATTATAGTCCTCTCTTTATGCACCCTCCCCACTTCGTTGCTTTGATTGACATTGTTGAGTCTTGAGACAACGGAAAAGCAAAGTACTATTTTTGGGGAGACCTCGAATTCCAGAAACAAGTTAAGTTAGAATAATCCTAGGCTACACCACAAATATCTAAAACAAAAATAAAAATTATGGACTTGAGTATTAAAATTTAATAGCCCAATAAATTTAAGCCTTCTTAACATGATTGCATACCTGGCATTGTTTTATTATTATTATTATTATTATTATTATAATAAGTAAATGAGTATAAGTTAATGCTGAAAGACTAATGCATATATTGTTCACAAATCCAATAGTTTTTTTTTTACTTTTTAATATGTTATCTTAATTTCGTACATTATTCATTACATTCAAATATAAAATTATAATTTTAGAAAATGACTTTGATGTCATTGCTAATGTACGCATACGTGTTTACAGTGAAAAATGACAATTGTAAACAAATTATCCAAAGATCAATCTAAGGACTGGATTTAGGTCATTTTTGGGTTCTTTTAAGTGTGTTGTTAACGTAACGGTGAAATGGACGCGTAAATTTAGCAATTTAGTAAGAGTAGTGAATATTAAACGTGCAGAATTGACTCAAATGTAGAGGTTCATTACAGAAAAGTATGAAATAAGAAATGAATTGCAGAAACAAGAACAAAAGCAAACAAACGAAGAAACTTGAATTGAAATGCAGAATGTAAAGGTACAGGAATGTAAATATGCTGGAATGTAAACGTACGACTCCTCACAACGGCGAACAACGGCCACTGTGGATCTCCTTATAGCTGGTGTCTGGCGCAGTGCAAGGTTTCAGCGTCTCAGAGAGTTTAGGTGCGGTGTCTGGGTACAAAAAGTCGTCCTTTGTGAAATAATGCTTTGGAGTATTTATAGACATGAAGATCACCACCGTTTTCCTCCTTTTGCGGGCACTTCTTAGTAACTGCCTTCAACTGTTGATGCTCACTATCCACGATTGCTTGTGATCGTGCTGTTTGTTGGGGCTGTAACCGCTATCGCCCATGATCTCCTTTGCGTAGTGGTGAATGTTGATAACTACTGGTAACCGCTTTTGGATTTTTCAAGACTCCTATCTTTCGAGTATTTCTGAGAGAAACCTAGGAGACTCTTTTAATGTTATGGCCTTAGAATAGTTTTTTCTTGACTTCTCTTTTCGAGCCATTCTGGAGTTTTGAGAGTCTGTCTTGGTCTTATGCACTTAGAACATTTTCTTTGCTCATTTCTGTTTTTAGAGCAATTTTGGAGGGGCTCTGGAGCTCGACCAGATTTGTGGACTTAGAATATTTTCTGACCACTTCTTATTTTTCGAGCAGTTCGAGAGGAAATCTGGAGCTCGGCTAGGTTTGTGGACTTTAGAATATTTTCTGACCACTTCTTGTTTTTTGAGTAGTTTTGGGTGTCAGAGACTTGAAAACTTCTCAAAAACTCCTCGAAAAGCCATCAGTTTTTGTGGACTTAGAATATTTTCCTGTTAGTCCTATTTTTTCGAGCCGTTTTGGGTGTTAGGGACTTGAAAACTCTTCAAAAACTCCTCGAAAAGCCATCAGTTTTCTGGACTTAGACTATTTTCTTGCCAGTTCTATTTTTTCGAGTATTTTTGGGTGTCCGTGACTTGAAAACTCCTCGAAAAAAGCCTGTAGTTTTGTGATCTTAGAATATTTTCTTGTCTTTCAAGCAGTTTAAAGAAAAATCAACAATGTGACAAAAATCTCATAAAATAGCTCAAAATGTGTACCTTTTAATTAAAACTAAATATCTTAGATAATCTTCCAATATTCTCTTATGTTTAGGCTTATCTTTGGCTCCTTCTTGACCCCCGAAACTTGTTGAAATGTAGTTTCTTTCGAGATGATTTTTAACTTAGAAAATTTTTCATTATCCCAAACAGATGCCCCCAAAATATTAATATCTCAGGTTTATGAGATTTAATATTTTTTATTTTGATATTTTATTAGAAAATTTTCATTTTCTAATTTTTCTGCCATTTCTTATGGCGTCTCTGCCACTTACCTGCTTTATGTCAGGCACGTTGTCCAAAGTTGGCGCATTAAATGCAGGTACTGCCTGGCAGTTACCGAAAATGTCCCATTATTGAGACGTGCTCCGTTCTGTTGGGAATTTAAGGCCATTTTAGATCGAAAAGACACCCCACTATCTCTTCATCTTCCCACTAAGTGCCAAAATGCTCTGGACTTGGGCTCTTGTATAGGCCTTGCACGAGGTTGGGGACCAGTATAAAAAGCGAAGTTACGTTCTCCTTTTTTTCACGCTTTCGTTTTTACTCTCCTACTTAGAGCTCTGTTCTCTCTTTTCTGCTTCTTTTTGTATCGAAATTTCTTCTGGTTCGTTCCCATCTTCTTATTTCTCGTCGAAATGGCATCCAACTCTAAGGTTCCTTCTGCCTTCTCCAATGTTGAGCTCGTTCCTTTGGGTCATTCGAGCTACCTTCCTGAGCCACCTCTCGAGGAGGAGAAACTGGCTATTTGGAAATTCCAGGTACTCATTTCCTTTTCATTAGGCTCGAAACCTCATGCATTTTTAGGTCCTTATGTTCCCCAACAATCTATCGAGTCTTCCTTTTCTGCTGATGGGGTCTTGGCATCCTCTTCCAAATATACTTTGGATTCTCTCGAGAATGCTCAAAAAATTTTTCGAACCATGCCTCCTGTAACCAAAGATTTGTACTTGCCTTGGTTGGATAGAGTTGAGAGCGAAAAACAAGATAGTTGGAGGGCCATCAGAATTTATGATGTCATTCAATTATCGAGGTACAATTTGTCCTACAATTTTCCTATGATCATGAGTTCTCTTTACTTCTGGGATCGAGCAACTAGCTCTTTTCATGTACCTTGTGGTATGATTACTCTAACTCTCTTTGATGTCGCAACCATTACTAGGCTTAAACCAACTGGTCCTTCATTTCGACCAGATTCTTATCCCAAGAATCCTGAGGTCATTCCAAATTTTCAAAAACTCTCTTATCAACTCTTCATTACTTTGAATATGAATCGAGATGGCCCTGTTACAGATGAAGAACACATTGCTTTCTTAATGCTTTGGCTCTCTGCTTACATTTTCTGCTCGAGATCACTCCAAGTGTCCAAAACTCTTATTACTCTAGCTCAACTCTTACATAAGGGATCTTCGATAAGTCTTAGAAAACTTATTTTAGGGAGTTTATACGAAAACTTGAATGAAGCGGTTGTTTCTTTTAGGTCGAATGACTTCCCTTCAGTCATTAGTGGTCCTTTTTGGCTGCTTCAGCTTTGGCTGAATGCGATCTTTGAAGACAAGTTACAGAGCTCTGAGCCACTCGACATTTCTGGAGAAATAGAGGGATTTCGTTTGACCTTTTTGACCACAAATGTTGCTAAAAAGCATTACTGTAATGCTTTTCGTTAATATTTCAATTTTTTCTTGGGCCTTCATTCTTTTACTCCTCAACTTGCCCCATTTTCTGCTCGAAAAGTTGGGCCAATTTGGTTTAAACGTCTATTTCCCTCGAAAACACCTGGTGCCCAATCTGAGAGTTTAACAATATGGAGACAATTTCTCTCGTGTCAGCTTCTTTTTTGTAACTTTACCCCTAGGCCATATCAGGTTGTTGCTTATCAACCGAATCTAGTATCTCAACAATTTGGCCTAGGTCAGTTAGTGCCTACTTTTATGTTGGAAGGGTCTAATTGGCAAGTTCTTGAAAATGCTCGAAAGAGTATCGATGATCTCAATGAAGCTATCAGCTTCTTCCGGCGACATAGGCTAGAGATCTCCTCTATTGAGTTTGAACCGATCTTTCATTGCACTAATTCTTTCAAGAGTTGGTGGTCTACTCATTACCATCAATATGATATTTCTATCGAGGTATGCAGCCAGAAGATGACCTCTGCTTTTTCTCTATTTCAGAAAGGGGATCCAAAGGTCAAGACGAGAGGTACGCACATTCAAGAAATTCAATCTTTTGAGCGATTTTTTAAAGTTATTTACTTACCACAGAGAATATCTCAAACCATTTTTGAAGCTGCCATTTCTTTAAGAGAGAAAACCAAAGAAAGAGTAAATAAATATAAGGCTTTTCATCCTTTTGACCAGTTCATAGAAGATATTCTTTTCAAAAAAATTCAACCAACTTTTCCCCCTTTACCAAACTGTAATTTTGCTCTGGCCTTACCCATAATTTCACCTAAATGGGTCGATTTACCTTCGACTCTTTTGAATGAATTATCCCCTCCTCGAAGTAAAATAACAACTTCGAGATTTTCTTTTAAAACTTACCCTTACCCTCTTCACCTTGATATTTGGGATGTGAGAATCCTTACAAAGTTTAAAGATGGTAAGGTTTACCCTGCTTTTTCTTGAAATGCCTTTCTATATTTTTGATTTAATTTTGACTTCTCAAACACTTTTTTTGCAGCTCTTCCCACAGAACCTTTTGTTGGTCGATATGACCAAGAGGATTGGGAAGAGGATGAGCCTCCTAAGAAAAAACAAAAATCTACTGGAAAAGGTTCTTCTTCAACAACCCTTAAAAAGGGTTCTTTGTCTACATCTCAAGCTGCCTCTGGGGTATCTAAGGTAATTATTTTGACTTGGGTTTTATTAATTCTCGACATGGGTTTAGATTATAAGCTTGCTTCTTTTCTTTTCCTAGGCTAAGGCCATTCCCAAGACCAAGACTCCTACCAAGCCCCAGATTTCTATCGAGATGACTGCTTCGACTCCTGTGCAGCAGACACCTGATCAACCTTCAGCTCCATCAATGGAGGTAAATTTTATCTTTTTTCGAGTACTATTCTGTCTTTTCGAGCAGTTTTTTTATCCTTTTCTTTGTGGCAGGTTTCGACTGATGACACTCCAAGTGTTAATTCACCCCCTAGGGTCCGAAAAGACCCTAAAAAACGTTTGACTCCAACCCTGAGGAGTCTAAAAAAATCTCGAGAAAAGAACCTGCAGCTACTGCCTAACAAGGGAACGAGGCAGCTTCTTCCTCGAGTTCTGGATCTTCGAGTTCTTCTACGGATACTTCTTCGAGCTCTTATAACTCGAGTTCTGAAGACCAAGCTCAAACAGAGCCGGCTCTTGATGTAAGGCATCCTTTTACTCGAAATTTGGTCTTCATACTTGTGAATTTTCTAACTTCTTTTTCTCTAGGTGCCCTCTATATCTCGACAAACACCGCCTCTGGGTTCTCCCGAGGTTGATGTTGTTACATATCAATCAGAAGAGGAGGGGCCATTGCATGAAGTTGAGGAGAATGTAGCTGAAGAGGGAAACCAAGTCCCTAAAAACCCCCAAATTTTTGTTGAAGGTCCTCCCAACATTGAAGTTGTACCACCAGCGTCATCCATTAACTCAAAAATGAACTTGGATGATTTTAACGCTATGGTGGAGGAAGATCCAGAGGGGGCCATCGACAAAATTTTGGCTGGTACCTTCACCTTTTCCTCTTCGTCTCATACTCCCTCAGGGTCACACTCAGAAGTCTCCAAGCCTACTGAATCAACTGAAAAAATGCTCGAAGAGCTTAGGTCCTTGGTCTTTGATGAACCAATGATGAAGAACCTTCCAACTGACAAGGACTTGGTTGCCAAGATCAAAGGCTTACTTTCTTCGTTGAAGGCTCAGCTCTCGACATTTCCTGAAGGGCTCCAACGTTTTGAGTCTCTTTTCATCGACTCTTTAGCAATTATAGACCAAACTGCTATGGTTGGTTCTAAACAAGATCAAGCTCGAGCAATGCAGGACTCTGATTCTAATAAATTGAAAGAGGCTCGAACTGGGTTGGTCAAGCTAAAGGAATCGGCTACCAATGCCGATATGAAGCAAAAAGAGGTTGATGCTAGAATCGTTGATTTAGAGAAACAACTCGAAAGAGCTCGAAAGGAGTCAGAGATGCTGAAAAAAGCTAGTGCGGCTTGTGAGAAGAAAAGAAATTTTTTTATAGAAAATGTGAAGACCCTGACTATCGAGAGAGCTCAAGCTATGGAGGATATTTCGAGTCTGGATGCACAATGTACGGCTCTTGAAACCAGATATCAAAATTTGAGAGCCGTTTACACTGAAATGCGCTCGAAGCCTCCTTTTTGATTTTTTTCATGTATTTTTCTTTGAATTCTAGTAGTTATTTTAATGTAAATACTCGAATTCTGCTTTAAATGACATTTATTCATTTGGCCTTTTCATTACTCGAATTATCTTTTATTTGCCTTGACTTAAGTTATTTTTACTTCATGTATTTCTGGTTTGTATGGTTTTAAGTACTTACCGTTAATCGACATGATTCAACTATTAGTTCCAAGTTCTCGAATTGAATACGCGTTATTTGAAAACACATTTTTAATCTCGAAGGGGCCTTCCCAATTGGGTGACCATTTTCCAAGTTTTCTTGATTTTTTGTCGAACGGTAAAATTACTTTCCATACTAATTCACCAGCATTAAAAAACTTGCCTCGTACTTTTCTGTTGTATGACCTTGTAATTCTTTCTTTTTTTCGAATCATTTTCTCTAAGGCACTTAGGCGAATTTCATCCAAGACATTCAATTCATCAAACATTAAGGCCCAATAATCTTCACTTGGTAACTCGAATTGCCGCTGTAATCTAACTGATTGTAGATTTACCTCAACAGGTAAAACGGCTTTATGGCCATAAACAAGTCAAAATGGGGTTGTCCCCGTGGCCTCATTTGGAGAATTCCTATATGCCCATAATAATTGGCTTAAAGTGTCATGCCAATTTCTTGCCTTTGATCCAATGTGTTTTTTAATTAACTTGATCAAAATTTTATTTACTGCCTCCACTTGTCCATTGGCCTGGGCATAATATGGGGTCGAAGTTATCATTTTTATATTCAAGGACTCTGTATATTGAGTTATTTTTCGACCTATAAAAACAGTTCCTTGGTCTGTTGTCAAAGTTTCTGGTATACCAAATCGATGAATTATGTATTCGTCGATAAAATTAACATCACTCTGAGTAATTTCTTTCAATGGAACTGCCTCAGCCCACTTCGTAAAATAGTCGACAGCTACAAAGATGTATTTATGGCCTTTTGTCGAAGGAGAATGAATTTGGCCAATTAAATCCAGAGCCCAGCCTCGAAAAGGCCATGGCTTAATTATTGAATGTAATTCTGAGGCTGGAACATGTTGAACATTACCATGCTTTTGACATTCTTCACAAGATTTTGCATAGTCAAAGCAATCTTTAACCATCGAGGGCCAGTACAATCCTTCTCGAAGTAACATCCATTTCATTCTTTCTCCAGCTTGATGAGCTCCGCATATCCCTTCATGGATTTCTGCCAAGGCAATATAAGCCTCATGTTCGCTGAGACATCGAAGTAAGGTGCCATCAACACCCATTTTATACAATTCATTAACCACAATTATATAGTTAACTGCTTGAAATTTTGTTTTTCGATCAGTTGGAATGTTGGGGTCCTTGAGATAATTGACTAGAGGTTTCCTCCAATCTTGGTCAGTTAAGTCATTTATATTTAGGATTTCAAGGTTTGTTGACCCTAACTTCTCCCTTATCTCTGTTAATTTTGCCAGGTTTTCACTCGAAATTCTATATCTCGAGGCAATTTGGGCTAATTCATTGGCCTCTTAGTTTTTGTTTCGAGGAATATGTTCTAGAATGACTTCGTCAAATTTTTGTAATAACTTATTCACTTTTACCCAATATTCGACGAGGTTTCTACTTAAACATTTATATTCTTTGGTTAGTTGCTTTATTACTAACTCAGAATCTCCTCGAATGATTACATTTCTTGCCCCGAAATTTAGCAGTATTTCAAGTCCAGCTAATAATGCTTCGTACTCAGCTTCATTGTTTGAACAAGCTGATTTTATCTCGAAGAGTAATTTCGTTGGGATTTCATCTGGTGAAATTATCAGTATTCTGATTCCAATTCCATTTTTATGACTAGATCCATGGAAGTACAATTTCCATGACTTTAGACTTATAAAATCTACTTCTTTGATTGGGATTGAATGATCAATAACGAAATCAGTAACGACTTGGCCTTTTACAGATTTTAGTGGTTTATAAATTAGAGAATACTCTGTTAGAGCCAACGCCCATTTTCCAACTCTACCATGAAGGATAGGTTTCGACAAGAAATACTTTATTATATCGTGATGTGAATAAACATATACATCGAAAGGCCTAATATAATATTTCAATTTCTCACAAGAAAAATACAGACACAAACATAATTTCTCGATTGGACTATATCGAGATTCTGCACCTATCAACATTCGACTAAGATAATAAACAGCTCTTTCGACACCATTTTCGTCTTCTTGAGCTAGCATGCTCCCAATAGTTTCTTCTGATGTCGAAATATATAACTTCAAGGGAAAACCTTTCTTTGGCGGAACCATTACTGGTGGTCTTGTCAAATATTGCTTTATCTCCTCAAAAACAGCTTGATGCTCTGCCTCCCATCGAAAATCTTCTTCTTTCTTTAACTTCAATAGGGGTGAGAAGATTTTAACCTTGCCAGAAAGGTTGGAAATAAATCTTCGTAGAAAATTTATTTTCCCTAGCAACGATTGTAGTTATTTTTTAGTCGAAGGGGCTTGTGTCTCAGATATTGCTTTGGCCTTATTCTTGTCGATTTCAATTCCTTTTTGGTGAACAATAAAGCCAAGGAACTGTCCTGCAATAATACCAAAAGCACACTTTAGAGGATTCATCTTCAAGCCATATTTTCGCATTCTTTCAAATGCTTGTCGAAGATGACCAACATGGTCACTTTTATACTTAGATTTCACAACAATATCATCAATATAAAATTGCAAAAATTCGCCTATTATGTCATGAAAAATAGTGTTCATTGCCCTTTAGTATGTAGCTCCAGCATTTTTTAATCCGAATGGCATTACTACCCATTCATAAGTTCCTAAAGCCCCAGGGCATCGAAAAGTTGTTTTCGATATATCCTCTTCAGCAATAAAAATTTGGTTATACCCTGAATATCCATCTAACAAACTTAAAATTTCATTACCTGCTACCGAATCTACTAACATATCAGCTATTGGCATAGGGTATTCGTCTTTCGGTGTAGCAGTATTTAGATTTCGAAAATCAATGCAAACTCTAAGAGATCCATTTTTCTTAATCACAGGTACTATGTTCGAGATCCAGTCAACATACCTGGTTGTACGAATAAACTTGGCTATAAGGAGCCTTTCAATCTCTTCCTTGATTTTTGGCAAAATTTCTGGCGCAAATTCCTAGGTGGCTGCTTTACTGGCCTCTTTTCTGGTCGAATTGGGAGTCGATGTTCAACTAATTCCCTCGAAAGGCCTGGCATCTGGTCATAATCCCAGGCGAAGCAATCCTTAAATTCCCTTAGTAGCTTGATTAATTGGTCTTTTACTTCTTCATCGACTAATTTACTGATGAAAGTTAACCTCGGCTCCTTCTCATCTCCAAGGTTCACTTCTTCTAAGGGATCTTGTGCCTCCATTTTTGGCCCCTTTCGAGCTGAATCTTCTCGAAGCCAATCGGTGCATCATCATAGATGCAATCAAGCCGGACATCATTGCCTTCGGTCTCTAAGACCGATTCTTCTTGAATCACACATGTTTCGAGTTCTGTGTGCCTTTGTTCGGCTAGATAAGCCGAATTTGTCTTAATGGCCGAATATGGTGAATCAGCCTCCCATCCTTTGGCCACTTTTAGGGCCGCCTCTCTTCTTTTGGCTAGATGAGCCGAACTTTCGATCATGTTGATATCTGCATGGCCTTGGATTGGGTGTACGGCTTTATGGGCCGAGATTTCTTCAATTTTTTGTGATTTTATGGCCGAACTAAATTCATCAGCCTTCAAAGTATCCCTAGCTTCGAGAGCCGTTTTTATTTTATTTTCGGCTATGTAAGCCAAAATTCAAGCCAAAATTCAAGCCAAAATTCGAGCCAAAATTCGAGCCAAAAGGCTCTTTTCAAGGTTCTTCATTTCCATTCTTTTCGGCCTCCACTATTTCTTGGAAGCCGTAAAAACCCATCGAGGGTCTAAGCGGATCTGGTGTCAAACTTCGCGAGCATTTGGTAGGAGAGGATTTTGGCCAAAATTAGGGCCGCCTATATCTTCTATACGCAGTGGCGCAATGTTAGCAAACGACTTGTCGAATGTTTTGCTATCGAGACTGCTTACATGAACTTCAGCCTTAAAATAGCTCTGATCTCCATCGACATATTCCAGCACTCTGTTGTTATTCCAAAGACATAGTTTCTGATGCAGTGAAGAAGGTACTGCTCCAACTCCATGAATCCATTCTCTCCCGAGCAGTAAGTTGTAGCTTGCTTTAGATGTCACTACCACAAAAATTGTTGCTCGAGAAACAGATCCAACCTTCAAGTTGACGATTAGGGCCCCTTTAGAACTTGAAGATTTCCCTTCATAGTCCGTGAGTACCAAGTTGTGGGGGAGCAAATCCTCTTCGGATTTCCCAATCTTTTTCAATAAAAAACAGGGCATAATATTGATAGCTGCCCCAGAATCCACAAGGACTTTGTTCACTCGAAATTTTTTGTCAATTCGAGCCGCAATGTATAGCGGCTTCATATGGCTCTTCATTTCACGTGTCGGCTTCTCGAAAATAGCCGACGATTTAGCAAGTGAACCATCCTCTGCCAAATAACAATAACCCCATGGGTTATTATCGGGTTCATCATCAGCATAGAAGTCTTCTTCATCTCCTTTGCTGATTCCTTCGGCATATTCAGCAGGCAGCATGGATACGACCCAAAGTATATCCTCAAGATCATCTTCAAAGCCTGATTCGAATACATCGGTGATCAATTCATCATCCGCATTGTACTCGATTTCTGGGCTCTTCTTCAAGTCCTTTTTCATTACTGGTGCTCTCTCTTGAGTCGTTTTGACTTCGACACTAACCGGGGTACGCCGCATATTTCTGGCGGCATTTCCCTGGGTTTGTTGGACTTGATTTTGAGCTCGAATTTGGGCTTGGATTCAAGCTTGAGCTTGTGCCTAGACTTGAGCTTGAGCTTGAGCCAAGGCTTGTGCTTCATGCTCAGCCTTCCTGATTCTTTGAGCCCTTCGCCACTGAGTTTTAGTCATAGGAGCCTTAAAATAAGGCTTTTTCGACTGAAAATGGCTCCCGGATGGATTATGGAAACCAGTTTGAGTGAAAAACTTAGGTTGTGAGAAAACTTGTTGTGGCATGACCGTCGAATGTGACAGTCCACCCTTTTCGACCATCTGCAATTTTGGTCGAGTTAATGATGTGTGCAGCACGTTTCGAACCCATGTATTGCTCGGAACGTTTTGAGCAGGTACGAAGGTCCTGCTTTGAACAGTTGGGGGATCACGTATGGTGATAGAAGCATTCTGGGTCTGGATCCCTTTGTTCTTGGTGATCACCTGATAGTGTTTCTTCATCTCTGATTGCTCGAAAGCTTTAGCCATCGCTTTATCGAAGACGGCGCTACACCTTGGGCACAGCATGACCTCACTGTCCGCTTCCTTCTTTCGAGTTAGAAAGTCCAGCAGCGAGTCACCAACCCTTGGGAAGATTTCAGCTTCTTCCTTCTCGAAGGCTTCGAGGGTGTCCTTCAAAGAGCCTTTTCCTTCTAACTCTTCTACAGCTCGATCGAATGACCCCTATTTTTCAGCAACATCGACCATCAGTATGTCGATAGGTTCCACGAAATTAGCTTCTATTTGCATAGGATCAGAGTCGATTTTCATCGACATTTTGGTTTTTTGCTCGAATTTCAATCGTCTTTGCTTAATGGTGTCTTGAATAAGATCCCTGAAACGAACACAGCTATTAGTCCAATGACCATAAACATGATGAAACTTACAATATTTTTGACCCTTTCTTTGTTCTAGAGTAGGGATTTTATGATCATCAGATAATATAATTTGCCCATCCTTCAATAAAATGTCGAAAATATGATCAGCTTTAGAGACATCAAAGGCATAACTCTTATTAGGCCGAGTTTTGTCCTTAATTTCGAGTGGTTTTAAAGATTGGCAAACATAAGGGGGTCCTGGTTTTAATTCAGCTACATTTACCTCATTTACCCCTAAATCGACATCTTCTTCATCGAGATCTTTCTCGCTTCCTATTTCTCCTTCAACGAGACCTATGTAAGCCACTTTGTCTTTTCGAGGAAATTTCTCTATTTTCTTAGGGACAAATTTTTTAGCCTTAAGTTGCTCGATTTGCCTCATTTTCGTCGCTAACTGCGACATATCTCTTAGCTGCTGATTAATCAGTTTCTTTCTAATCGAGTACTTTAATCCGCCTACAGCCATTTGGACTAGTTCATATTTTGGAATTTGAGTAAAACATCTCGACCTCATTTGTTGAAATCTACTTAGATAATCATCAATGGATTCATTATGTATTCTTTTTATATTAACCAAATTCATTAAGCTAACTTTCGCTTCACCACGAAAGAATTGTTCATGAAACCTTCTTTCTAATTGATTCCAATTATGAATTGAATTCGGGGGTAAGGTTGTGAACCAGGTAAAGGCCCCCTTAGTCAAAGAACTAGGAAAGTACTTCAACTTTAAATCTTCATTTCGAGCTAAATCTCCACATTTTATGGCGTATCTAGCTATATGTTCTACTGTGGATTCACCGGAATCTCCGGCAAATTTAGTGAATTTCGGGACTTTCCAACCCCGAGGCAGTTCAGCCTGCAAAATTGCCTCAGAGAATGCTGAGACAAAGTAGGGTCTATTAGCATACCCTACGTCGAACCCATGTTGATTCAAAACTTGTTCGACTACATTGGCAATATTTTGAGGATTCGGGTTGTTCGGATATTGAATCTGATGCCCCCTACATTATTTTGCCTAACTTGCTCAAGTATTTCATCAGCATTATGATTTCGAGCAATAATAAAGGGTTGATTTCTCTGGAGATCACCCTCATTTTGTCTCAGAAGGTTTTGGTCGAGATTTCGACCAATTTGCTCAAATGGAGCATTTGGATTTCAAGCAAAAACTAGGGGTTGGTCTACCTGAAAATTTCCCTCATTTGTTCTCGGAAGATTTGGACCAAAATTTGGTCTATTTTGCTCGAAAATTTGACCATTTCGACCAAGATTTGTGGCATCTCGATTAGATGTTTGGGCAACATTTTGCCCTCGCCTTATAGGAACTTGAGGTGCCCCAAAAACGTCAGCAATTCGACGCATTTGTTCAGCCAAAATTTGATAGTTGGTATTAGTCGTTTCCACTATGGGATTCAACACAGTGGTCATTTGATGAGTCAGCATATTAACCATCTCGTTATTGCTTTCATCCATTTGTTGCCTCATGGAATGTAAGGCAACATTCAAAAATGAGCTAGCAGGAGGTGAATCCCCACTCAAAGCTCCAAACGCAAATTGCGTTTCAAGTACTCCACCAATCGTACCTATTCCCGGTGGAATGATATGGAGTACACCCATTCCCGGTGGAATGGTGCGACTCTGGGGTGACACGGTTGTCACCACAGGGTTGGAGTAGGTTGATACTCCAAAGATAGGCGGCATACACACAGGAGGTAAGCCAAATGGATGATCACCCAGCCTTGGCCTTGGGCCAGGATTTATGCTGGGATTGGTTGGTGGCATAATAACCATAAATTGGCTAACTACGGGAGATGACGGCGTAGGTAACGCCGTCGTTGGTGTGGGTTGTGTGGCAGTAGTAGTACTGCCGCTTACATTTTCTGGGTTGGTATCACTACCATCACTTCTAGAATTGTCATTTCCAAAACTAGAATCACTATTTCTTCCTCTATTAGCCATAATACAACGTCCGTTACGTAATATCATGCAACAAAGCAATCAATCATTCAAAACACACAATATTTTCCCACTGGGCGTGCCAATTTGTTTACGGTGAAAAATGATAATTGTAAATAAATTATCCAAAGATCAATCTGGGGACTGGATTTAGGTCCTCTTTGGGTTCTTTTAAGTGTGTTGTTAACGTAACGGTGAAATGGACGCGTAAATTCAGCAATTTAGTAAAAGTAGTGAATATTAAACGTGCAGAATTGACTCAAACGTAGAGGTTCATTACAGAAAAGTATGAAATAAGAAATGAATTGCAGAAACAAGAACAAAAGCAAACAAACGAAGAAACTTGAATTGAAATGCAGAATGTAAAGGTACAAGAATGTAAATATGCTGGAATGTAAACGTACGACTCCTCACAACTGCGAACAACGGCCACCGTGGGTCTCCTTATAGCTGGTGTCTGGCGCGGTGCAGGGTTTCAGCGTCTCAGAGAGTTTAGGTGCGGTGTCTGGGTGCAAAAAGTCGTCCTTTGTGAAATAATGCTTTGGAGTATTTATAGACATGAAGATCACCACCGTTTTCCTCCTTTTGCGGGCACTTCTTAGTAACTGCCTTCAACTGTTGATGCTTACTATCCACGATTGCTTGTGATCGTGCTGTTTGTTGAGGCTGTAACTGCTATCGCCCATGATCTCCT